CCACCCAATACCAATCTGTGTGTTTTACTTCTGCACTGTTGTTGTTATTTTTACTGTTATTGTACATTTTTCTTTGTTGTTATAAAAATAAAAGTGGGAAGTATACACTTTACAAATATTACAACATTAAAATATCAGTATGTCTTGTTACATCACTTACATAATTAGTATAGTCTGCTGTATGTTCAGATTGAAAGATTCTTAACCCTTGTAATGTATTTATAAGAAGCCCATGCCTTTACAAACGTATTACATTGTGTATTAAAGTAAGTATATTCATCTTATTATCTTGTCCACAAACAAAAGAAATTTATAACAAATTTAGGCTATTCTTAAAAATATGCTGAGAGTAAAATATTTTCAGATCACTTTTTTTCTTCAAAGTCTACTCCAGCTTAACATACTAAAAATTCCACATTGAGTGAAATCACATCATGGAGAAGAACAGTCTAGCATACAACTGTACTCGTATAGACAAAAGTTGCAGCCTAGTTAACATTAACTTCTGAAATTTTAAATTTCAATTCCTTTAACCCTCTTAAATTCAGCTGAAATTGAAGATTTTCTTTATCTCAATATGATTTTATTAAATACTTTTAAAGTAACTCTGAGCCTTAATTGTAGTGCATCATCTCTGTTTTTTAAACAGGTTTATAAACTGTACACTCACACAACTTATTGTTTTTATACAGGTTTTTAAACTGTATACTTACTCAACTTGTTGTTTTTAAACAGGTTTTTAAACTGTATACTCACTCAACTTATTGTTTTTAAACTGTACACTCACACAACTTATTGTTTTTAAACTGTACACTCACACAAATTATTGTTGTTGAAACTGTATACTCACTCAACTTATTGTTTTTAAACTGTACACTCACACAACTTATTGTTTTTAAACAGGTTTTTAAACTGTACACTCACACAAATTATTGTTGTTGAAACTGTATACTCACTGAACTTATTGTTTTTAAACTGTACACTCACACAACTTATTGTTTTTAAACTGTATACTCACTCAACTTATTGTTTTTAAACTGTATACTCACTCAACTTATTGTTTTTAAACTGTATACTCACTCAACTTATTGTTTTTAAACTGTATACTCACTGAACTTAGTGTTTTTAAACAGGTTTTTAAACTGCACACTCACACAACTTATTGTTTTTAAACAGGTTTTTAAACTGTATACTCACTCAACTTACTGTTTTTTTAAACAGGTTTTTAAACTGTACACTCACACAACTTATTGTTTTTTAAACAGGTTTTTAAACTGTACACTCACTGAACTTGTTGTTTTTTAAACTGTACACTCACTGAACTTATTGTTTTTAAACAGGTTTTTAAACTGTACCCTCACACAACTTATTGTTTTTTAAACAGGTTTTTAAACTGCACACTCACACAACTTATTGTTTTTAAACTGTATACTAACTCAACTTATTGTTTTTTTAAACAGGTTTTTAAACTGTACACTAACACAACTTATTGTTTTTTAAACAGGTTTTTAAACTGTACACTCACTGAACTTATTGTTTTTTTAAACAGGTTTTTAAACTGTACA